CGTGAAAAGAGTCAAAGTTTCTTAATCGAATACCCAAGAGGCGCTTAGGGAGTGGAGTAGGCCGGTTGTTGCCGAACCACTATAAAATTTCCGGTGTCATTTTCTCTAACCCTACTCTATTTAATTTTTGCAATTAATTTTCTTTATTACAAATTGAATAAAATTAATTGGTCGAATTTGTTATTCATATTTATGCTCAATGTTTATATTTGAATTATTTGGGTGGTGAAATTAATTAGGGTGTTTGTATTTCTAATTTATTGTTTAATTTGTGATAAAATTAATTGTTCCTAAAAAGTTTACTTATTTGTTTAAATTTGGGCCCACCGTAGTAAAAAGTTTATAAAGTTTAATTAAACCCTATTCACCCCCCTCTAGGGTTGTCATACCGATCCAACACGCTGGATTATTAATTATTTCATTTATCATTTGAATAATTCAAACTTGAAGGCTATTGCAATAGTGATTGGGCTGGAGATCTTAACCATTGAAAAAGCACAATAGTGTATTTGTGTTCTTTATTGACAATATTACTTTTAGCTAGAGTTCTAAAAAGTAGCCTATTACCTCTTGACCTCTGGGTCAGAAAAGGTGTTAATTATTGCTAACTTAAGTTCATGTTGAAGATTCGATATTCAAGTTGATTATATAAAGACAGAAGATCAAATTGTAAATATCTTCACAAAGCTACTCAAAGTTGATGTCTTTAAAAAGATGAGAAATTTCCTTGAAGTTATGAAGAAGATATGTTTAAGGGTGTTTATACCAAGAATTGCACAACATCAAACCTTGGTCAAGTTCGAACTCGGTCCTAGCTCCGGCTTAGAACACAACAGGAAGACCTGTGCAAGAGGACAAAATCTCCGACGCTCAAGTCAGTAAGTAGTTTGGACTCAATATTAAGTTCAAGGAGGAATTTCATACCTGATGATGAAATGAGGCCCTCTATTTATAGGTTTAGGCTTCCTCAAAGGTTGAGCAGATCGAACCCAGACAGTTCTACTCAAATAATGACGGTTTAATAAAAGAAATAATAGCTAAGCTATCCACCTCGGAAGGTTCCGAGGTGGACCTGCATAATGATTTATCTGGGGATATTCCCTTGGGCGAATCACTGTCCTCCATGTGACAGTCTGGTTTCCCTTCTCCCAAACAGGGATGTTGAAAATTAAACATGTTAATTATCCTATACATGAACTACTATTATCCTAAATATTATTATACATATACATGAACTATTATTTAATTGAATGTTCATGTATTTAGCATTTTACAATGGATTAATTGTATGATCATCATGTTTAAAAAAAAAATTGAATGTTCATGAATGTATGCATTCATAGGATGTGTGTCAACTTAGAGTCTACATTATTCTATGGAGTCGTATAAATATGATTGTCTTTGATGAATTTCAAGTAACTTTGTGGGGAAGAAAACAAAGAGAGTTAAGTGAACCAAGTTTGTAAAATTTTTGTGAGAAATTTCAATACAAGTGAAGTGGTTTATTTTCAAATAAGTCTGGTTTGGTTCTCCGTTTGTGAGTATCCATTACATGTTTCCAACATAGACTTAGTATTGGAAAATTAGTAGCCAAAAATAAAAATACTGTAGCATATTTTTTGGGTCAAGAAATCACAATTAAAGCCCAATATTTTCCTTTCTTTTCTATTAAGTTTACTGACCTATTTTTAAGACAAATATGGAGTATTTATGCTCTTTCACCGGGAGAATAAAAAAGGAGGCAAAAAGTGTGTGGCGGCAGTTCTTTGGCAGAAGAGAAAGAGAAGAGAATTGCATCATCGACAACTTGTTCTGGTGAGTATGGTATAGTTTTTCATTATTGTATTCCTAAATAGCCATTGATGTAGTACTTAGAAACTAAGTGGTCATTGCTATGACATCTAGAGAGAGTTTAGAGCATTTTTTGAGGCCCATTATATCATACAAAAATTATGTGTCATTTATGTGCTTTCCCTATATATTCTCTTATTGTGTGTTGGATATCGTTTTCACTTAATAACTATGGAAGGGGAAAAGTTTCCTGTAAAATGCAAGTGAAAGATCTTCTCACGTATAAAAAGATCCACAAAACTTTGAAAGAACGACATGTTGGGATAACAGATAAATAATGAGCGTAGATGGATGAATAGGTCTTAGCATTCATCAAGTTATGCTTGTCAATGAATGTGACAAGTCTCATAGCAAATCAGACAACAGCAATAGGATTGATTTAGGTGCGTATGGGCAGAGATGAAAAACTCTCTGCCAAGGTTTATCTCATCACGAGATACTTCAACATTCATATGGAGGAAGACACGTTAGTGAACACCCATAGTAACGGGGTGACTAAATTGATGAATCAATTGGAGTTGATGGAGATCACTTTTTCAGAGGAAGTGAATGCTATAAAGTTGCTGTCTTCTTTGCCTGAGAGCTGGAAAACGATGGAGACGACTGTGTCGAATTCGTTAGGAAATAGGAGTCCGAAGTCCTCGATCTGTGATGCTGTAATAATTGAGGAGACTTGTAGGAAAGAAAGTGGGAAAAATTCTGCATCCACTTAGTGGTGAGAACTCTATTGATTCAGCTTTGACAGTTTAGAGCAAAGGCTATGTTAAACAGCTGTGACTAGAGGAGTGGGAGCAGTGATGTTGAATGTTTTTAGTGACATAAGAAGGGTCATTTTAAGAGACACTGTAATAAGAAGCTTAAAGAGGATTAGAGAAAAAAAAGACACTTTAAATTATGTGAGCAGAAGTGTTAATTTGTATTGAGAGTAACACCACACCTGTAGACCAGTCATAAGATTAGATAGTGGTCAGTGCAGCTTCAGTACAGGTTTCTTCAGACAAGAGATGGTCGGTATTAGTTAAAAAAAATTAAAAAAAAAAAAAACTCTTCCCTCAAAAAATTTTACTCATTACTTAAATACCAATGTTGGTTGAGTCTTGTGATTGAACTACTGCAGTCAGAGGTTGGTAATCTTTCTATTATGGGAGATAATTGGTTGTTATATCTTCAGCATTGCAGAAGGAGTAAGGAAACAACACTATTACTGGGTTTTTATCTATTAAATTCATGTTTCCTTTGTTTCACCAACTATTCTGTAGAGGAGTTCTAGACAAATTTGTTTTATTAAAATTGGAGTTCTAGACAAATTTGTTTTATTAAAATTTACTTATTGTTGTATCACTGATGTTTTTTTTTCCATGGATTATTTAGTTCACCCATATTAAAATTCAGGTTTTCAAACCAAATTTAGTTTCTCTTATTTTTTTTTAAATATTACATTAATATTAACCAAAGACCAATTAAATAATCAACATTAATTATTCCTCCTCTAAAATAAATTTGCAATTGTGAACAATGAGATATGTGGAGGGAGGTAATCAACCTATTTAATTATACAATGGCTTCAAATAAAGTTTGTTTCAAAGAAACAAAAAACTTCAAATAAAATTAATTGTGATTAAACCTTTTTATTTAACAATATAATGTATCATTAATCCAAGGTAATTCTACATTATGGGTTATGCATGGAGGCAATTATTCTATGCAATTAAATCTTTCACAAATGACTTGCAGTTATAGATGAGTTTTATAAATGGAGGTTTAGATTTTCCACATCTTGTTAAACTAAAAAAACAAAAAAAAGCTTTCACAAAGGATTCGTAGTTGTACGTACCTCGATCAATAGATTTATTATTTCACCTCGACAATGGACTCACCTTCTTAAGTTTTATTGTCATGCAATCTAGCTCCCATGATTATACTATGACTCAAATAAATCAATTAAAATCTTTTCAAACATGAAAGAGTAAGACACTTGCATTTCACTAACTAGGAAATAGTAAATTAAAATATTATTTCTCATGCAATTTTAGTGATAGCATACAAGGGAGAAAGAGGTGTTATATGGTGAAGAACAAAGTGTATATATATATATATTTATGTATTATATGATTAAACCTAACAAAGTGTGAGCACTAGCTTTTTGTAGTGCCTTGCACACTATCTCTTAAACTTTACCTATGTCTACCACTATCTCTATAATATTAATTTCATTGGCTCTCTTTTGCTTAAGCAAAACAAATAATACTCAATCTCTATAAAAATCCTCATCTGGGCGTGTGCTCTCCACAAGCAAATTACCAAACCATTTCTTTTTCCTTTTCTCCTTTCCCCTTCTGTATACAAAATCTCAGCTCAAACATGGCTTCTTCATTCCATGCAGAAGCTTCTGACGTTGAGTCTGGCCGTGTCGATTACGCTCAACGAGCGCAGTGGCTCCGAGCAGCCGTTCTCGGAGCCAACGACGGGCTGGTCTCTGTTGCGTCACTAATGATGGGCGTTGGAGCTGTGAAATCCGACGCCAAAGCCATGTTTATTGCGGGCTTCGCAGGGCTTGTCGCTGGAGCTTGCAGCATGGCGATTGGAGAGTTCGTCTCTGTTTACACCCAATATGACATACAGAAAGCTCAACTGAAGAGAGATGCCACGAACCAAAAGAATGTAATGGTAAAATTCTTTCTATTAGAATAGAATAAGAAAAATATCTTAACTGCTTATTGGTCAACATCTACCTTGTATTTGACTACTAATAAAAATTTGTTAAAAATTTAATGGGATTAAGAAAGAACCGGTGCTCTTGTTCTTATAATAATATGAAAAACAAAACTAACTATTGCAATTTAAAGGAAGTTATTTACGGTAGAAAATTAAAAAATTAATTAATTAACTTGACTAGATTAAATAATTAAATGTAAAATAAACAAAGTTAAATTACTAGTTGGCAGGTTTCTAATTTTTTTTTATTTGTGTCTTCTAGGTTATTCATCTTTATAAATAGTCTAATAAATTTTTAAATTTTGGATATCTTTCTAATTTATAAATAAAATTTCAATTTTAACTTAATGAATTTTTTTTTTAAATTTACAAAATTGAAAGTCCCAATTAATTAATTTCAATTTTATATACCATTTTCTAAAGTTCGAAAATTTTATTAAACACCACTAAGTTCCAAAATTCAACTTGTAACTTAACCAACAAACTAATATATTTATTTTTCCCTATATCAGAATGGCAACCACCAAGACGAAGAAGAAAAGTTGCCGAATCCACTGCAGGCCGCGCTCGCATCTGCGATCGCGTTTTCAGTCGGAGCCATCGTCCCTCTGCTAGCAGCAGTGTTTATCCATGACCACAAGGTCAGGCTTGGCGTAGTTGCAGCGGTGGCGAGCTTGACGCTGGCTGTTTTCGGAGTAGTTGGAGCGGTCTTGGGGAAGACTCCGGTGGGGAGATCCACGGCGAGAGTGGTTGTTGGAGGCTGGATGGCTATGGCGATCACGTTTGGTCTTACCAAGCTGATTGGGTCCAAAGGACTCTGAGAGTTGATGGCTGTGACTATTATGATCTATATGTGTTGTCCTAATAATGTTGTTGTCTTCTTGCTTGTTATGCTGTTTTTTTTCTATGCATGAGTTCAAAGGAGTTCCCATTATCAGTCTAATTAAGAAATAAAAGTATGTTGGTCAAAGGCAAAATGTATGGTCTCTTTTTTTCTTCTTTTTTACAAGAATAAACACTTGTGAACTTTGTTATTTCAATGGCAATGTTACTAAACGTTTAATAGTTTTTTAAGCTTTTTTTTCCCTCTAGATTGAAATTGAAGAACTACTTACCTATAGAGAGGATGTTTTGTCACCGATTACGTGTGCCTGTGAGTTTGTTTATCTTTGGGTAATAGATGTGCTAATTGTTAAGAAAAAATCTCCCAACAATACGGTATAAATAAATAGAAATAATTGAAAAAATTTAAAGTAAGTAAAATGAATAAAAGAATAGAAGAATTTACGTGGAAAGTTCTAGACGAAAGAAAAACAACGACTACCATAAAGAATCTATTATATAAAAAATATTATAATCGTACAAAACAACTCTCTCCAGTTACTATAGAAAAAGAAGACCTTCTCAAAATTTTATATCACTCCGAGCTTAAAGTGTATCTAACAACTAAAAGCTTTTTATAGCACTTAGAGACATCACTTTACCTTTCACGAGTGTAATTTTGGCTCTCTTAATATTTTTGCCAAAGACCCAACAAATTCGACATTAGCAATGTTGATGCGTGGATTTCGGTCCTCCGGTTCACTACCTCGCATCCATCAAACTTGTTGATCCGGGACTAGTACCTGCAAAATCAAATCGAGCTAAACCGGTGTGACTCTAGTCACACGGGCTCCGATGCTTAAGTTAACAAGAGAATAACGTAAATGTAGTCAACTCTCTTCCTCCTATACCTCTAA